AATCATATAAAGAAAACAGATAGAATACAACAACAACAACAAAAAAAAGAATAGAGTAAGCTAGTGTTCGAGGCCTTTTTTGCTTTTGTTAATTGTATAATAAATAAAAAGGAATACAAAAAAAGATTAGAGAAGCTAGTGTCAGTTTTTTTTAATAAATGCATACATTTATATAAATACATATTTAGTATGCTTTCTTAATTTACTGTTGAACAATTTTGCATGTTCCGTTTAGTGTTGCGTTACAGGCTTGTTAGGAGGATTGTTGCATTGTGCATAAGTATTAACCAAATTATTTGAATTCAATGTAAAATGACACAGTCCTCTGATTTATTTCGCTAATGTGTACACTATACTACATCTCCCAGAATCCACCGAGCGAAACCCCTCGACCAGTCCTCTCCCACAGCGCGTAATTCGAAATAGCATCTTTCCAGCCAATACATCGACGCCTTTTATCCGCTCAGAGAAACGGACCAATGGCGCTTCGAGCTTTTCCCGACGGCCAGTCAGAACGCAGCAGTGGCCGTGGTGGGCGTATCCGTTGTCTGGCCAGTGAGCGCTCAGAGTTGATGTTTAAACCGTCCGCGCAGGCGTGGCTACGCGCTCGGGGGAGGGGCTTAGCGGAAGTTGCATGGTTGAGTCAGAGGAGAGTTGTGTTTTAAACTGTACAGCACTATTAGTAATTTAGTAGGTTCATCAGTCAAAGTGATTCTATTAATTTAGGGTCTAGTATTCAAGAGTTTAAGTTTTAATTTCAGTTTACTGTGAAGCTTTATTGCTGTAAGCTGACTTCTCAGATCCCTCCTTGAAATGAAAGCGGGCGGTAAGTAACTAACGTTACTTTAATCTCACTCAGGGATGGCTTTTCAGTTATTTAACCCTAAAAAGTGTATAATTACATATTTCGTCGACAGTTATAAACCATCCTGTTTCTATTTCATCAAAATCAGGGCTGAAGTTTATGAAATGGCTACAAAAATGTAGACTTAACGTTAACTTAGATCTATTACTAAGCCGTTAACCAGTATGTAATTGGAATACACTTTATTTACCGAAATATAAATATTCTATTAATCATAACAATGTCGATGGAAGTTGTTTTAGTAGATATTAATATAATATCTCCTAAATTGAGGTCAGTTATCCTCTGTCCCACGACTGGTTTATCAATAAGGAGGGAAAACTGGCTAACGTTGTTACTGGTTGCGAGCATGTCAGAACTAATCCGTTATTATATAAAATGTGTTTTCTACTAATATTAATCAACTTTAAGGCATTTTAAACAATTCAGACTCAAAAACGATGAAAATAATCTCTCTCGGTGACCTATAATTCGCAATGCAACGTCCCAGTGTACTAACGTTACCATCCTAGTACCGCGGTAATACCGTGTTTTATTGGGCTTGTACCATGGTAATACCATGATATTCTTTGAAGTACATTGGTACAACATAAATATCATTGCTTATGATTATAGGGATATATTGACACCACAGTGTGTATCTTAAGTACAACGGTATAGTGAAAAATATGGTATTGTCATCTTTATACCATAGTACTACTGAAATACTTTTTGCATTGCTCAACCAATTAACTTTTGCATTTATTAATATGTAATGGCCAATTTCAATATCTAGTGGGCAGAGTGACCAATATATATAGAAGATATGCCATATAAAATGCAGTTGAATGCTTGTACCGCGGTAATACCGTGTTTTATTGGGCTTGTACCATGGTAATACCATGATATTCTTTGAAGTACATTGGTACAACATAAATATCATTGCTTATGATTATAGGGATATATTGACACCACAGTGTGTATCTTAAGTACAACGGTATAGTGAAAAATATGGTATTGTCATCTTTATACCATAGTACTACTGAAATACTTTTTGCATTGCTCAACCAATTAACTTTTGCATTTATTAATATGTAATGGCCAATTTCAATATCTAGTGGGCAGAGTGACCAATATATATATAGAAGATATGCCATATAAAATGCAGTTGAATGCTGATGAATATGAGTAATGCTGTTGATGAGACACAGTTATTAACATCGATAATCTCAAAATGGCCAGGTAATCGGCTAGGCCAATAAAACGGTGATGAAAGAAACATTTGCAAAATTGCAGTTCATGAAGATCTTTGGCCGCATGCTGATTTGTAATTGAATTTTCAGTTTCTTTATTGCTTTTTGGATGCAGTGTGCTTGTGTTAATTGTGAATTCTTCCTCGTCTCCAGTGCTCCACTGTCGATGTGCCAAATGTTTCTCTCTGCCTGTCCGGAAGCGGGTGCGAAAGCGTGCGTCTGCCGTCACGCTGCTGTCTCTTCCTGAAGAGCTGCTCCTGTGTGTCCTCCAATGCCTCTCCGCTGAGGATCTCCTCGCCGTCAGAGCTGTTAGTCCAGCCGGATGCAAGCATCTAACCTTATAAAGCCGCCATTACCAAACAATGGTTTTCTAATAATGAATGTCATGTGATCCCGCAGGTACATTCTCATCTTCGAGACATTATTGATAGTAACTCAAGCGTCTGGGCACGTGTGAGTTTCAAAGACCGCTGGCCGGCCCCTGATACCGTTTGGTTGTTTGAGAGGTATGATATATACCAACATTTTCACCAGTTTCCACCCTGTATTCAGTTGTTTGTGATTACAGATGATGACCTTAAAATAGATTCAGACCGATTTGCAAATGATTCACATTGATTTGTGGACCAGTTTGTGTGATTTATTCAAAACAAGTGCGTCAAAAGGACCTCGTGTCGATAGATTCACTGTAGAAATTGTTTGATTTGAATAATTTTCAGGCATGGAAAACAAATTAAATGATATTTCCAGGTTTTCCATTACTGTGGAAACTAGGGCTGCATGATTAATCAAAATAAAACCGAAGTCACGTCATAGCTTAGAGTGATTGAATCACAAAGACTGATTGAATTAAATAAATATGTCCTGCGTGTTTCAAAAATGAGTTTATTTATCTCAAAATAAAAGTTTGGTGGTTTAACATACATGTATATAGATATAGATTAGTAGATTTATTTTATAGTTGGACTGTAAAGTAAAATGATTAGGCAAGGCAAGTTTATTTATATAGCACATTTTACACACAAAGGTAATGCTTTACATTAAAAAGGAATTAAAATAATCACAATAGATGCACAAGAAATAAAAGTAGAGAATAAAATGATAAAAAAAAGTTTTTGAATCCTAATAACCAGCTGCTGTGATGTCTATTAATCAAAGGACAAAGAGGAAAAAATAACTTTTATAGCTTTAAGGATTCATCTATATTTAATTTAGAATTTAGTGTTTGATAACTTCAATTTCTGTATATTTCTGCTGAAGGGCACAGTAATATGGCATTTATTATAATGGGTTTATGTGAAGATTGTTTTAAAGGGGTAGTTCACCCAAAAATGAAAATGTGATGTTTATCTGCTTACCCCCAGGGCATCCAAGATGTAGGTGACTTTGTTTCTTCAGTAGAACACAAACGAAGATGTTTAACACAAACCGTTGCAGTCTGTCAGTCTTATAATGGAAGTGGATGGGAATCACGGCTTTGAGAGTAAAAAAAACATACACAAACAAAACCAAATTAAACCCTGCGGCTCGTGACGGTACATTGAGGTCTTAAGACACAAAACGATCGGTCTGTGCAAGAAACTGAACAGTATTTATATAGTTTTTTACCTCTGATTCACGCAATGTCTGAACTGTTCGAACTGTCCTGAACGGCGGCGCGTCCTCCTGAACGTGTTCTCAACAGCAGGGTGTGAGGCGTCTTCTTCTTGTTTTACAGCGGATCGCAGACTTATAAGTGCATTACCGCCACCTATCTCTCAAATGGACCATTGACACTATCTACGATCTCAATTAGGAGTGTCAATGGTCCATTTGAGAGATAGGTAACGGTAATGCACTTATAAGTCTGCGATCTGAAGTAAAACAAGAAGAAGAAGACGCCTCACGGCCCGGCTGTTGAGAACGTGCTCAGGACAGTTAGAACAGTTTGAATATTGCGTGAATCAGAGGTAAAAAAAAATATATAAATACTGTACGGTCTTCTTGCACAGACCAAACGTTTTGTGTCTAAAAGTATATTTAAAAACGTTAATGTTAGTTGGGATTAATCACGATTCATTTCAGAAAAATGTGCGATTAATTCGTAAAAAAATTTTAATCGATTGACAGCACTAATATATATATATATATTGATTTGTTTATAATTATAAAAAAATTTAATCGATTGACAGCACTAATATATATATATATATTGATTTGTTTATAATTATAGTATTTCTTATTTTAATTTATTATTTGAAAATAATGGGAAAAAAAGTTTTACCCTTAGTTTTGCCTAAATTGTGCTTGCATATTGAAAAATTTTTAACTTTCACAAAAGTACAAATTAATACAAATTGTTGCTTTTTATTTTTAATTTAATCTTATTTACTTTCTCTCATTAATTGCCCTCTGCGATATCTAGAGCTGCGGAGAAAGGGAACTTTGAAGCTGCTGTGAAACTAGGAATTGCGTATTTGTACAATGAAGGACGTAAGTTTCTGCTCTCATTCCCAGTGTTCCTTTGTCTTGATTGATAATAATAAGAATGGTTATTAATAATTGAGCACCAAGAATAAAAATGCTAAAAATGAAGCTTTGCATCACAGGAATACATTTAATTTTAAAATATATTCAAATATCAGTTATGTCAAATTGTAATATTTCACAATGTTACTGTTTTTACTTTTTATTAAATAAAATGCATCCTTGGTAAACATTAGAGACTTCTTAAAAAAAATAAATAAAATTACTGACGAACATTTAAATGTTAATGTGTATATCTATATAAATAAAATACACAATAATTGGTAAATATTTTTCTTTCATATATAATGATTTATTCATTTGGTTTACATTTAAATTAATATCTATTTAAATTTGTAAGCGTATATTAATATATATATTTATTAAATATTTTGTCAATGTTGGGTAACTTGTTTTCTACAAAATTAAAATAAAAAATGTATAATTATATTAGTTATATTTGCAAGATTTGTTACCATCTCATTACAAATTCTTGTCTTTCCAGGGCCGGAGAGGGACGTTACTGTACTGTCTGGCTAGAGTCCTTCAGCTGTTTGACGTGAGTGTCGATTTAAAACTTGAATCGTCACAAAATGCAGTTCTAATCTGAGAATGACTGTGTAAAAAGATGGAATCTCATTTGTAGCATCGCTGAATTGATTGATCTCTAAGTCGAGATCCACAAGATGCTTATAGACACCTGGTCATGTTGGGTTTGGGTTGCTCATTTGATGTTTTCTGTGAAGGGGTTTTATCATTTGTGCTTCTCATAGTCAGAAGGTCCCAAACAGGAAGCACTTCTTCTCTCGTCATAACCCCTCAGACTGAATCCATATCAAATGAGCAGCCGGTGTTAAACACGGTTGGTGACTCTGTGTTTATCAGGATGAGGAGAAGCGTGACGAGGCTACGGCGATGCTGAAGGAGTCGGCGCGTTGCGGGAGCGTGCAGAGCTCGTATCTGCTGTGGGAAATGAACCGCGGGACGTCGGTAAGAGTTTCCTCCGGACTCGTTGGTCATTGTTAGTCCTGTTTCTCTGCTATTGCTGCTGATGGCTGGTTTGTGTTCTGTCTGCAGGCGGACGACCCCGGCAGGTATCTGCAGTGTATGCGCATGCTCAGGGACTACGCTGCCAAAGGATGCTGGGAAGCTCAGGTGACTGCAGAAAATGTCATGTTAATGGAAAATTGAATTCAAAGTTTACACATTTTTAATCTTAATGTGCATGATAAAGTTGTTTTTTTTTTTCCACAGAAATGCTTATTTTAAATATATATCATAAATATATGTATTTACATAGTAATGTATATAATATTATTTTCTCTTTTGGAGACCTGAATTATTTTTAATTTACTTTTTTTCTTCATTTCACTTTCATTAAGAATGAAAGCAATGACTTTTTAATGTATACAATATTTAAAATAAATTTAATTTTAATATACAAAATAATTTTAGGGCCTTTCGCTCCATGGGAACCTTTTCATAGTACCAGAACTAATTGTGGAACTACCCACTTTTCGGCGTGTTCGCACCGCCGGAACTGGGTGCAATTTCCGACTGGATTCGTCTGAAAGAAGAAAGTCATATACACCTAGGATGCTTCGGGGGTGAGTAAAACACAGCCTTATTTTTGGGTGAACTAACTAACCCTTTAAACCTTCTGAAAGAATGATTATTTTGTATGTAATTTATTTATGAATTGACTTACCATTTTAAATCGAGAATTGTTTTTTATATGCACATTTGTAATGTTACAAAACTTTTCTATTTACAATAAATGCTGTTCTTTTGAACTTTTTCTATTCATCAAATAATCCTTAAAAAAAAAAAATCATGGTTTTGAGCAGCAAAAAAGCAATGTTTTCAGCATTGATAATAATAAGAATGGTTATTAATACACCTAGGATGCTTCGGGGGTGAGTAAAACACAGCCTTATTTTTTTATTTTTGGGTGAACTAACTAACCCTTTAAACCTTCTGAAAGAATGATTATTTTGTATGTAATTTATTTATGAATTGACTTACCATTTTAAATCGAGAATTGTTTTTATATGCACATTTGTAATGTTACAAAACTTTTCTATTTACAATAAATGCTGTTCTTTTGAACTTTTTCTATTCATCAAATAATCCTGAAAAAAAAAAATCATGGTTTTTGAGCAGCAAAAAAGCAATGTTTTCAGCACTGATAATAATAAGAATGGTTATTAATAATTGAAACGCTGTGTAAACATACTGTAAACATTGTGTCAACTTATTTCGCAAGTATGGAGAACAGCGATAGATGGACGGACGCTGAAGTGCAGGCACTTGTAGAAAATGTAGCACTGCCAGTTGTCGTTGGAGATTCTTAGTCCTCCTTTCCGTTCTTGCAATCGCTTTACGTATACGTCGACTTTCAATGTCCATTATTGTGAAACCCGTGAGACACAACAAAAACACCGCTCCGATCACAGCGTCCTCCATCCTCCTGTTGTTAACGTTGTTCTTTTTCTCTGTTGTTGAACGCCACTTACGTCACTTCTTAGTACACACTTTCAGTGCGAACGTAACCCTTTAAATGGTACTGGGAAATAGTTCGTGCAAAATCGTCCCAGTACTTTAGTACCGTACATTTAGTTCTGGAACTAAAGCGGTGCGAAAGGCCCTATTGTGTATACTAAGATATATTTATTTAGTCCTTTGAGGACCAGATTTAGTTTGCTCCTTTCCCCTTCCCATGTTCAGCATTTCATTATTATTGAGAATGAAAACGATTACTTGATTTTATTTTAAATGTAAAATATTTCTTTACATAATTATATACATTATTATGTAAATGTATTTATATTGTGAGGCCCAGATTTAGTTTTAGACTTTATGTTCAGCATTTCATTATCATTGAGAATGAAAACAGTTACTTGATTTTATTTTAAATGTATACAAATATTTTAAAAGACATTTATTTTAAGTATATAAAAATATTATATACATTTTAACAAAGTCTTTTGAGGACTGGATTTAGTAAAAACAAAAGAAAATCATTAATTTTTTTTAGTCACTTATCAGATTTGTTGTTTATATATAGTTTGCATTTATTAGCATGAATAAAGCCATGGTAGCATGATGCAGAATTATAAACAAACATCTTGTCTTTTGTTTGACGGCTCAGCCTTCAGTTTATTTTCATGTTTGGACCTTTGCTGTCTGAACATGACGTCTGTGGTGGGAGTGCGTTTGGTGAAGTCATTACCGATCATCCGTCTCCATTATACTTCCATTCTCACGATGTGTGCTCTGAAGCGTGCTCATAATGGAAGTGCACGGCCTGGGAAAGCTGCGTCATAATTCCTGTCCTTTCATCTGGTGCTTTTCTCTGCCGTTGTTGACATTTATTTATAATAATCAGCAGCTGTGCCAGATTGAATGCCACTCTGACGTGTGTAAATAAGCATGTATGGGGGCTTCAAATGAAGAGTGATCTTTTTAATGCTGTAGTCTGTACATTTGTGATGCCATATTGAACACACACATTCTGGGTTTCGTGTTTGTTTAACTTGTCTGTTCTGGTCTCCCAGCTGGCATTTGCGAAGTCATGTGGCACCGCAAACCCTCTGGGTCTGGAGTCGCGGGCCTGCGCTGAACTCATGGCCCAGTTCTTCCACTCCGGACCGTCACCCCTGAGATACCCACACAACCTGCAGGGACAGGACATCACCACTAAGAGGTACAACATCAACGCTTCCTGCCGTTAATAGACAAGGAAAACCTGGAACTATAAGAGCATTTTGTGATTTCTAGGATTGAAAAGTTAGTCACAGATTTTTAAAATATTTAAAAATGCATAATATTATTATTATTATCAACATGAGTTGCAAACACCCATTTATGTTGATATTGTTTAATTATTTTTTATGTTATGTATTTTAAATGTATTTTTACTTGATATTGTGGCGTTATTGTTAACTAAAACTATTTAGTCAAATTTGGTAGTTAAAATTATATAAAAATAAAGATTAAATGGAAAGATTAGAAATGTTGCTTTGGCAACTAACCAAAAATAAGTTGCTAAATTACTAAAACAAACAAAAACAGCTATATAAAAAAGAAAACTAATTACTAATTAAACAAATAAATTTTTTGGGAAAATAAAGGTAATTTAATATTACAATTAAAACATTGAAGAAATATTGAATGCTTATTCCTTAAAAATAAGGTTTTAATAATTTTAGTAGTAGTAGTAGCAACCTGTTACGTACATTCTATTCAACAATAGTAATATATTTCTGTCACAATGTCTTCAAGTTAAACTGCACTTTTATTTTGACGGGTTGCCGTGAATACCATTACATTTCTGTGTGTGTATGACATGATGATAGTTTTACTCAAATGAAACGGTCAAATGCTGATGAAGTGACTCTCAGAGCAGTTCTGGAGATGTTGTTCATGTATTTATCTCCTCATTAGTGAGACGGCAGACGCTAAAATCACCGGAAGCGTCACGAGCGTTTCAGTACGAGTACTACACAAAACCGCACGTCTGCGCCATTCATTAACACAGTGTTATAAATATTTAAATAGGAATCGTTTTGCGGCTTAATATTTACAAATACTAGTGGGAGTGGGCTCACTTGTGTGTGTGTGTGTGTGTGTGTGTGTGTGTGCGTGCGCATCGGGCGGAACTCCGCTGTGCGTGATGCAGAGAGCGCGACCATAACGTAGAGATTGAAATGACATGCCATCGTGTAAATAAGATAAATAACATAAGGCTATTTAGTTTGCTTAATGAAAGAACAAGCTATAGACATGTTCTATAAGAAAGGTAACTTTAAATGACTTCTGCTGTGATCTGGCGCTATAGAGAAAATATAATTAAATAAAATTAACTTGACCTTCAAGGGGGTGCCGTTGGCGGGGGCGGGCGGCCCCCCTAAAATAATGGCAGGGGAAACACTACTATTTTAAAACTATTAAATTTCTAAAACAAAGCTATATAGAAATGTTTTATAAAGCATTTAACAGTGACTAAAACTTAAAACTATATAGAAATATAAAAAAAGTACTGAATTTCTAAAACTTACAACAAAATTACTAAAAAACACTGAAAGGGTAAAAAGATCATTCAAATTATTAATAAATATTAGAGATGGTGTGTATAAATAATACTGAAATAACATTTGAGTGTTGCATTTTTTTTTTTTGCCAGCAAAACCCTTGTAAATGTATTGAATACATATTTCAGGGGTGTGATTTAAGATCCTTAATTGTAATGTTTCCAAACTTTTGGCAGGTACTTTAATAATAACAACAATTCTATATACTTTACTATAATATATTATAGTACTTTATTATAGTATATTATATTATTATCATGGTTATTAAATGCTGCTTTTGATTTTTTTACAGGACAATAGTATATATTGTTACAATATAAGACATATCTTTTAATGTTCTAAAATATATATTTTTAATAAGTGCTGGGGACGTGGTCAGATTTTCCTTTTTTGTCTTTAGCTGATCACGTGCTTGATATTTCTAAGACCTAGTGGTGGCTAAACAAATTTCCAGGCTGGCCCATGAATGTCAGTACTTCAAGCACTATTACAGCCTTTTTGTTGATAAAATGATGGTCAAATTGGCCATAGTGGATAAACAAATCCTTCTATCCTTTGCTTTTTTTTGGATTCATGTTTCCCCCTCATCACCCCTGTATTTTGGCAGGTATATTCTGGTGGACTGGCTGGTGGAGGTGACCACCATGAAGGACTTCTCCAGTCAGGTGCTGCACGTGACCATCGGCTGTGTGGACCGCTATCTGAGCCTGCACTCGGTGCCCAAGGCCCAGCTGCAGCTGCTGGGCATCGCCTGCATGGTGATCAGCACACGGTGAGCCGCCGCGTGCCACACAGATGCTCTGTTCATGCTGTTTCTGTGCTCAGCTGAACTCTCTCTGACTCGTCTGACCCCCTCAGATACATCAGCAAAGAGATCCTGACCATCCGCGAGGCCGTGTGGCTCACAGACAACACCTATCAGTACGAGGACCTGGTGCGCATGATGGGGGAGGTCATCTCCGTGCTGGACGGGAAGATACGGGTCAGTTACACACGGACCGAAACGCTTTCACACCAGCACAAAAACCTCATTCTAGGCTGCCGGCTCAGATTAACATAGCCTTGCATCTGAAGTTCAGAGTTCAATGCCTGTGTACTTACGAGGCGTTTTAAGAGCCCATTGGCCAATGCAACGTTTATTCCTGAAGGCATTACAATGCGTTTAAAAAAAAAAAAAATTAGTTAAGAGTGATGTCGAATATACAGGTGCATCTCAATAAATTAGAATGTCGTTGAAAAGTTCATTTTATTTCAGTAATTCAACTCAAATTGTGAAACTCGTGTATTAAATAAATTCAATGCACACAGACTGAAGTAGGTTAAGTCTTTGGTTCTTGTAATCTTTGGCTCACATTTCACAAAAACCCACCAATTCACTATCTCAACAAATTAGAATACTTCATAAGACCAATAAAAAAAACATTTTTAGTGAATTGTTGGCCTTCTGGAAAGTATGTTCATTTACTGTACATGTACTCAATACCTGGTAGGGGCTCCTTTTGCTTTAATTACTGCCTCAATTCGGCGTGGCATGGAGGTGATCAGTTTGTGGCACTGCTGAGGTAGTATGGAAGCCCAGGAAAATAACTAATTGCACGGAAGACAGATTATCAGTCTGTCTCTAATAAAAGATTATCTCACAGATGTTCAAAGCCAGGCTTTCTGAGCCTTAAAAGAGTCCTTTTTCATTTATATGACCCATTTAATGGTGCTTTTGTATTGACTAACTAATTAACATGTTAATGTTGTGCTTCAGACCCCCACAGTGCTGGATTATGGGGAGGTGCTGCAGTCTCTGCTGCCCATGGAGCGGCGCAGCTCTCACCTCTTCAGCTACATCTGTGAACTCTCTCTGCTCTGCTCGCCCCTCACCGTCCCGGGACCGGCCCGACTCGCCAGCGCCGTCCTGCTGCTCACCCGAGCGCTTCACAACTACGGTACCACCGCCGTCCCACCGAACACATGAAGCACTAGGGATGTAACGATTCACTCAACTCACGATTCGATTCACGATTTTGATTTCACGATTCGGCTTTCTCACGATTGTTTTTAACAAAATGAGATTGACGACAAATTATATAGTAAATGAGAAGGTGTCCTTTTATTAGGCTATTGCTGCACGTTTCGTTGTGAAATTGAAATATAACCAAACTAAATTGAAATTTTAAAACAAACCTCAAATCAAATAAGTTACAGAAATAAAAGAAATCTCTTCATATAAACAAACTAAGGGCGTGTTCACACTTGGCGTCTTTTTTGACAAGAAAAGTTGACAAGAGTGCTAGTAAAATAAAAAGCTGGCAGTGTTTTGGTTACAAATAGCAGCCGAGAGCGTCTTTTGTTGCTATAACAACAGCAGCCTAGCGCTGTGCTGCAGAAATGCCGAGAACGAGTAAAAAGTTGGCTCTTGCGTTGGGCAGGGTAATGTCGGTTCACAACGACATTTGTGGGTGCGCGACATTTATACGGGGAAGGAAACCGTATGGTGCTTACAACAATTTAGTCCAGGAGCTCCGGTTGGATGATGCACGGTTTGCGTGCGTAGACTATATAGAGTTTTGTGCTCACATCATATAACTCCCTTGCTCCAAGACTAGTACGATCTATCTACCGGCTATCTTCTCCATTTTTCCTGTTGTTTTTGTTTTTATGGAAACGACTCGCCACTCGCTTGTCATTGGTCAGCTGTCAAAAAGGCGCTTGACGTACAGTGTTTTTTTTCTTTTTGTTTACTTGGAAAAGGCGCTCTGCGCTGCAGAAAAAGACACCGGCGGTGGCGTTTTAAAAAGCACTCAGGACTTTTTTCTGAAAACACCGTTTACTCCATAGGATTATAATGTAAAACAGACTCTGGCAGCTTCAAAAAAGACCCCAAGTGTGTACATAGCCTAAGGCTTTGTCTGTGCTCTTTCCATTTAATATCGGAGGCAACCACTGCTTTTTAATCATTGTCCAAACAAAGATGCAGCATGAGCAGTTTTTAATCTAAATTTGACTGTATAATTTCAAAATTTGAAGCAAAAACAGAATGGTCTGACTTTTAGTTTTGTGAAACTATACTTAAAACTAGTGCTGTCAAATGATTAATCGCATCCAAAATAAACGTTTTTGTTTACATAATAAATACACAGCACACACGCACATATATTATGTATATATAAATACACACACATGCATGTGTGTATATAGTTAAGAAAAATGATGTTTATATATTAAATATATTTATTTATAATATATATTATATGAATATCCCACCGAACACATGAAGCACTAGGGATGTAACGATTCACTCAACTCACGATTCGATTCACGATTTTGATTTCACGATTCGGCTTTCTCACGATTGTTTTTAACAAAATGAGATTGACGACAAATTATATAGTAAATGAGAAGGTGTCCTTTTATTAGGCTATTGCTGCACGTTTCGTTGTGAAATTGAAATATAACCAAACTAAATTGAAATTTTAAAACAAACCTCAAATCAAATAAGTTACAGAAATAAAAGAAATCTCTTCATATAAACAAACTAAGGGCGTGTTCACACTTGGCGTCTTTTTTGACAAGAAAAGTTGACAAGAGTGCTAGTAAAATAAAAAGCTGGCAGTGTTTTGGTTACAAATAGCAGCCGAGAGCGTCTTTTGTTGCTATAACAACAGCAGCCTAGCGCTGTGCTGCAGAAATGCCGAGAACGAGTAAAAAGTTGGCTCTTGCGTTGGGCAGGGTAATGTCGGTTCACAACGACATTTGTGGGTGCGCGACATTTATACGGGGAAGGAAACCGTATGGTGCTTACAACAATTTAGTCCAGGAGCTCCGGTTGGATGATGCACGGTTTGCGTGCGTAGACTATATAGAGTTTTGTGCTCACATCATATAACTCCCTTGCTCCAAGACTAGTACGATCTATCTACCGGCTATCTTCTCCATTTTTCCTGTTGTTTTTGTTTTTATGGAAACGACTCGCCACTCGCTTGTCATTGGTCAGCTGTCAAAAAGGCGCTTGACGTACAGTGTTTTTTTTCTTTTTGTTTACTTGGAAAAGGCGCTCTGCGCTGCAGAAAAAGACACCGGCGGTGGCGTTTTAAAAAGCACTCAGGACTTTTTTCTGAAAACACCGTTTACTCCATAGGATTATAATGTAAAACAGACTCTGGCAGCTTCAAAAAAGACCCCAAGTGTGTACATAGCCTAAGGCTTTGTCTGTGCTCTTTCCATTTAATATCGGAGGCAACCACTGCTTTTTAATCATTGTCCAAACAAAGATGCAGCATGAGCAGTTTTTAATCTAAATTTGACTGTATAATTTCAAAATTTGAAGCAAAAACAGAATGGTCTGACTTTTAGTTTTGTGAAACTATACTTAAAACTAGTGCTGTCAAATGATTAATCGCATCCAAAATAAACGTTTTTGTTTACATAATAAATACACAGCACACACGCACATATATTATGTATATATAAATACACACACATGCATGTGTGTATATAGTTAAGAAAAATGATGTTTATATATTAAATATATTTATTTATAATATAAATTATATGAATATAAATATAGACATGTAAATATTTTCAAAATATATACTGTATGTGTGTGTATATATGTATATGCACATACACTCATATATATTATGCAAACAAAAACTTTTATTTTGGATGCGATTAATCGCAATTAATCGTTTAACAGCACTACATAAAACCTATCTGAACCAAATGGCAGACGAGCTGAATGAGATGCAAAACAAAGCAGAGCTGCACTTATGAACACTACTTTAATTTGCATCGTTCAGAGCCAAGATGAAAAGAAAATACCACGTAAACTTTTCTAAAGACAGTCAGTTCCCCCCCAGAGATACATTCATAGAAACGCCTACTCTTTTTTGGCATCTCAGCCGATTTGAATCGTCTCATATTTGAATCTATTTTCAACAGGCTCGCGGTTCATCGTTACATCCCTATGAAGCATTCCACGAGCCTTATTCGAGGCTTTCTAACGTGTGTTTCTCAACAGTTCCCGTGTGGCCCGTCCAGCTGGAGGAAAACACCAGTTTCTCCAAGCACGACCTGGTCTCCTGCACTTTATTGCTCTACGTCAAGTGGTGAGTGTCTGTGTCAATCGTTATCTATCTAATGAATTCATACAGAGGACGTTTATGGTTATTCTGAGCCTGAGAGAAGCAGCGTTTTCACAGCTTCACTCTGTAGTTGTTTTATCGCGGCTGGTCTGGTCTCAGTCAGGTGGTCGTTATGTTAATGAGGTGTTAACGAGTTATCTGTGCTTCTCACTTCTGCCCTTTGAAGCGCACAATCAGTGACTGCTTAAGCGCTCCTCTGGGTTTGAGAAGTCACGCTCTTGTTGCTGTAGGGAGATTAAACTTCAGTCCCGCAGAGTCTTGAGAAGATGCACACATTGGCCTTTCAACCCTAGTAAGCAGCCTCGCTTTCTACATAGGCAGCGGAACCTTATATGTGGCTGATTTGAAACACTGTTCTGTAGCATGTGATGGACTGTTATTTTTATATTGTTATAATGTTTCCTATCATCATTATTTTTAGATTATTAGTTATAATATTTGCTGTTAAACTTAACCTAAAACCATCAAAAAATCTCTATAAATTATAATGTTATAAACTGTAACTAATAAATAAATATATCCAATAATTCAATAAATAATGATGACAAATATTCTAATATTTACTAATATTGTTTTTGTATTCTAATTTTTGTGATCAGTATAATTAATTGAATGTGTTTTTGTATAAATTAGTTGTAATATAACTATTACTATAGTTATATTAGTTATAATATTTATAATTACTAGTTATTTTTATTACTGTTGTTTACATGTTATATTAGTTATTATATTTATTATTACTATTATTAGGTTTATATATTAGTTTAAAATGTTATATATATTGTTTTAATATTGGAATATTCATAATATTTATTATTAATTATAATATTTATTATTTGATTTAATATGAGAATGTTAGTAATATTTAATTATACTATTTATTTGATTAATTAACAGTTGTAATATAAATTTTTTTATTAATGCTGTTTATATGTATAACTAGTTATATAATTAAATTTTAGTTATTCAATATTTTATTTATTTGATTTTATATTTTGTGTATATATATATATATATATGTATGTGCTAGGCAATGATTAACATTTGTAATCGCATTGTTGAACAAAATTCAATAATGAATTAAAAAGTGTATTGCCCTTTTTTTCATTTAAAGGTACTGCTATATGAACAAAAGTGCAATAACATTTGGTTTGCAAACACTTTAAACAAATAAGGCGCTTTTTTTTCAGCACCTTTTGCATAGTAGCAGTTCAAATATTTCTTGTAAATCTCAACTTATAACACGTAATCAAATTCAATATAAAACCAAAGATATTTGCCTAACGTTTTTATAGAAAATATTTTATAGTTTGTTATAGAAAAGCAAGTTATGCTCAGAGTCCAGAGCCTCGGACATAACATTATAACAGGCACCTTCCGAGTAGAGACGTGCACTATCGCGGGACAACACTTGAATGGGCGAGTGTCGGTGGGTAGACGCTCGTGTGTGCGGGATGCGGGAGAATAAGTGTATACTCACACTAGGCAATCTTAACCGTGCCCGAGCGCGTTTGACCCTCAAAGCCAGGTTCGTTTGACTAGTGTGATTGCTCCGTGCCGTGCTCGGGCACGTTTCGTTTAGCCACCCCTGGCTCAGTTGGAAGAGGTATGCCAGAGTGCGGTTTAGTTGGGCTCTGGTGTGGTACGCATGTGATGCGTGTAGTCTGATACGTGCAGCACGATTGCATGAGTATTTCTGAGTGGCAAAACCAATGCACTCCACTGCTGAGCGAGAGCGCTTCTCTGCTGTCTTCACGTGCTATCGGAAAATTCCTATTTCCCACTTATGAAGTCATGATTTACGAGCACGTTACGAGTGTTCGGGGGTCTTAATGATGGATTTGTTTCTTACAAACACGCAGCTTTTGGCTTTACAGGACATTAATTGATGGACTGGAATGGTGTGGATTACTTATGGATTATTGTGATGTTTTTATCAGCTGTTCGAGCTCTCATGCTCTCATTGGTTGAGACGCGTGATGACGCCCATCCCAAGCCAGTACTGATCAACATCCCACCCCTCCTGTGACCCATGGTTTGTCTGTATTAGGGCTGGACAATAATTCAATATCAATATGTATCGCAATATAATTTTTTTTTTCAATAACGGTGATATGAAACACATTTCCGATATTTCGATATACATTACCAGTGTTTCCCATACATTGATTTATTTGTAGCGTTTGACTTTGTTGAATAAACATGAGCACTAGGGTTGGGCGATGTCTACAGTGACACATCGCAATGGACGATGGCGGGGGTGTGGCCGAAGCATGAATCCTTATAAGGCACAGAAAAAGAATAACGATTCCTAACACTGTGTCTATATCGGACACGAGTGGCGTGGCACAAAAAAATACTATAGAACCACTGATCTATAATAGAGATTCATTATATATAAATCAGTGTATAGAACTTATTATAATCAGTGATGCTGTCTACACTAAATGCGGCGTGACACGACAAATCCCAGACAGTAAACTGCTGCCGTGTTCTATTTATGACGTGCTGACACAAATTTCAAATGACTTTCAACGGTCGCTTTGTGGCGTCCAGTGTAGACAGACTTTGGCTGATGCAGCACGATGCGGCGCGACACGACAACTATCACGTCCGGTGTAGACACGATGTAACGGTTGCCTGTTACATTACAGTACATAAAATTTAACTTGGCACATAAACGGAGTAAGGAGAGATGACTGATTTGCAGATGATTTGCAGATCCTGAGCATCAATGACAAACATCTAATCTTGTAAAATGTGTAGTAAGTACTGTTGCTCCATGGTAGCCTATAAACCGAGTATGTGCTATCGTGAATCTCGAAAGTGAAACTAAAAAGCGATCGTGCATTCAAAATCTGCTCTGCAAAAAAGCTCCCTGATGCCCGAAATATATGTAGTGTAATTACTAGGGCTGTCATCGTTAACGCGTTAACCCATGCGTAGTGCTGGGCGGTATACCGGTTCATACCGAATACCGGTGTTTGTTTTTGTTATGATATGAATTTTTTAAATACTGCAATACCGGTGTATGTCGCTTAAACAACGTTCGGAACGCGACACTGTTTGAAAGAAGTCCCTTTTCACTGTTGCACTGTGGTGAGGGAACAGCTGCATGTGTTACCGAGCGTGAAAGTTCAGAAACTGAAGCTGTAGAACTAATAGAACGTGATGACACAGAAGAACTCATCCACAATATCCACATTGACCGCCACAAATATCCACCGCCCCCTGCCATCAGCTCCCGCGTCTCTCACACACACACACGAGCGCAACTTTAGCACTAGATTTAGCAACTTTCAGACCCTTTTAGCTGCTTTTTTTCCATAGAATATTCATACTGACAAACCTAGCGATTTTTTTGGATAAACCTAAACTATGGTTCAGTTGGAAGATTTTGCCTGTGCTGTCCCGCGAACGCGAGGTCTGACTTTCCCGGAGAAGTGTCACCTCTCTCGGCGTCTGTTCTGTGCAGTGAGCGGCAGAGAAGCAGCGCATTCAGTTGACCGCATCGCAGTCGACTCGTCAATAAATGAGTACAAAACAGCGTTTCCTAACACCTGTCTCTTACTGATTGTTTGGAATTATAAATATGAGCGTAGTTCGTCTGTTAATATCATATGCACTTTTTAGTTTGTTACTCAGATGCAGACAGTGCGCTGCATGAGACAAAGTAATATAGCCAAAACAACCGCATGGCCGCTCTTTAGTGTAGATGTATGTTGATTTTATCAGACGATGCCGCGATTATAAATGAGAGTGACTCCTGGTTAACATGTATTAAAAGGGGCCGTGTTTAGTCACTTTTTATTGTGGTATTTTTTTGACAATATTCACTCATCATGACAGTAAAATAGGGCATTTTAAGTCAATATACTGCAGTATTTCCTTTTTCAATCAGTAGAAATATGGTTAACACCCGGTCATGCATGAAAAAAAAAATACCGCCATGTACCGTGAAACTGGTATAATTTTGAAAAATACCGTGATATAAATTTTAAGGCATACCGCCCAGCAGTACTACCCAATGCGATTAACTTTACAATCCTTAACGCGTTAAAATAATTTAACGCAATTAACGCAAAATGACTAAAGCATAATTTCTATTATAACCATTTAACCCAATTTTGCTTCTCTGCGATCAGATCATTTTAAGCTGCTAAACTCCAGGGAAGTTTTCAGTCCAATGATCCAGTTAGCGAATGCATTCAAACAATCCGTCCAAAACAGCGCTAATATAAAGGAAACCAGGCTGATTACATCAGAGATTGCAGAGACTCGCGTTGCGTTTTAAGTGAATTATTAATTCCAGTGTTTTTCGCTTTTAAACACGAGCTCTGTCATATTTTGAGATTGTCTCTGAAGAGCGCGAGCCCTCACACATTTGCGCTGTGTGAAGTACAGACTGAACGGATTGTCAACGCATTCCACTGCTGTATGGCCAGATGAGATGCGACTGGATAACCAGTCTCGCTAGTAAAGTTTTGATGGATGAAGACTGCAATCAAGGTAAAGACTATTGCGGTGGCATACAGGAGTCGTACAGTAAGCACGCATGAGTTCATTATAATAATGCGTGTATGAGTGCTCTTGACGCACTGATCACACATTGTATTTATGCACAGGCACAGACATTTCCGTACATTCACTTTGTTTCCACACACATTCACGAATGTTGTGATTTGTCATGTTTATGTTGCTGTGTTTAGTTAAACGGAATGGATCCGTGTACTGTAGTAGATAAATGCAGTCAGCAGGCGGTTGGTTTAGGGTTTTTTGGCATCTCCATGTGGTCCTGTTCGGTATCGCAACTTGGCTTCTCTAAAATGTAAAAAAGCTCTTTGCTGTTGCACTGTACACATACTATAAAATTCTGATTTTTTCTTTCATATGTTCTTATATGGGCTCCTTATATCATTTGGTCCTTTGGTGACCTTTTGGAGTTTCTAAGTGTCCTTTTTTTTGGAAAGACATCTAAATTCATCTTGAAAAAAGCTTGCAGAAAATATAGATTTTTGAGAATCACCCTTCAATCTTTTGGTTTACTTTGCTGGATATAGCAAATGATGACAACATAAACATTTGAAACAAGATAAATGGTCTATGCTTAATTTCATGAAGTGTGCGATTTAATCGCGATTAATCACAGAAAAACGATGTGATTAATTAGATGAGAATTTTAATAGATTGACAGCCCTAATAATTACCCAATGATATACTGCGAGGAAAAATATTGAAATATATTTTTTCTAGGGTTGGGTACCAAAACCCGGTACCAATATGGCACCGGTACCTATGTAACCGGTATGTACTAGAACCAAATCCGAACGCAGATTTCGGTGCCTCATTTCGGTGCCATGCCTGAGCGATCGATTTAAATATTTGTTCTCCGAAATGGACGCAAGAAGTATCATCACTGGCACCGCACATGAAAAATAATTTCCCGACTGAGAAAATGCACGTGAACTCAAGTCGGAAAGCTCTAATAATACAAATCCAACACATCTTGTAGTACACATGTAGTAACGAGAGTGTCCATGTTGTTTTCACATTCTGACTTATAAGCACAACTCGGGGAAATGAGAGCATCCGAGGAGCGCGTGAATGAAGTAATTAGACTTGCTCTGATGGCAGCAGGTAGCCTTCCGTTAACTAAGCTAAACATGCTTAAATTAACATGCCTAAAGCTAACCCTCCCTTGTATTCACATTTCTAAACCTGTTGTCCAACAAAAGAGAACATTATAACCTTTTTACTCCACAACACCAGTCAAATGCTTCCTTTTGTGATCTGATGAGGCTTCTTGTCACAGAATGAGGCAGAAAATATGTTTCATATGCTACTTTAAAAAGAATACATCGATTAGCAATAGATTATAAATTAGAGTGACCATATGTCCTCTTTTCCCCGGACATGTCCTCTTTTTGAACCTACAAAAATGCATCCGGCCGGGATTTCTTAATTGCCCAAAATGTCCGGGATTCAGCTGTTTTCTTAATCCCACTCCCGCTGAATCTCTGACCATTGCCGCCTGCTCCAGCAACATGTGTTTCGCTCCCGCGATTTTCATGTCCACTCTTTAAACATTCTATTATTGTATATAATTTTGCCGCATCAGGGAGCCGCTCTCAGGATGCGGTGTATTTTATATTTTTGAATGAGCGTTTGCTGTTTACTTTCACTTTCGAATTTCGCAATCTCACGCATTCTGTGTAAAGTTGAGCTCATCTTACAAGATCAGATATTTGTCAATGAGCTCAGGATCTGTTGAGCAGCAAATACTCCCGTATGGTCTTTTCAGTCATCTCTCCTTATTCTCGACCTGTGATCAGTCAAAGCTGACTCCGGTAGCTCTTGTTAGATACGGGGTTGCAAAGTTCGTGTTTTTTCTACAGAATTGGGCTACTTTTAAACTGTTGCCATGGGTTGATTTTCCCAAGTGGGTTAAAGGTTTGAAATATTGCATAAATTACATTTGACTGAAATGCTTGTATTGAAACATTTTGCATTCTACCTATGATAAATCTTTCATGGACTTCTACATTAACTGTTCCCTCCTGGTGGAATGACCTGCCCAGCTCAATCCAAGCAGCGGAGTCCTTAATATTTTCAAGAAACGGCTGAAAACACAACTCTTTCATTTTCATTTGACCCTCTAACTAGCACTCTCTATTCTAATGCTACTTCTAATTTTATCTGTTTTTTTTTTTTATTAAAACATATAATTTTTTTTATCTAACATTTGCACTCTATTCTATTTTTATTCTAACTACTTGTTTTATTTATAAAGGAAAAAAGAGCCTCTAACACTAGCATTCTCTATTCTTTCTCTATTCTGTCCACTTATTTTCTTTTTATTTATTATAAATAATGACCTTCTAACACTAGCATTTTCTGTTCTTTCTACTTGTTTTCTTTTTATTTATTATAACAAAATAAAAAACCATGCTATGTATACTGTTAGGTGAAGCCCCGCCCCCTACTGTCCATTTTTTTTGGAAAACTAAAATATGGTCACCCTATTATAAATATACTTAATTATTATGAAAATACCAGAGATGGCTTAAATAACACCGATAAACTATATTGTCGCAGTCGAGTGTTTATTGTCTTTGTTTTATCATTCAAAACGTTTATATGTTCTGTTTACTCAGTTACAGATATAATAGCAATGCCTTTGTCCATATAAGGGATTTCCTGGAGGCTCATGAGTTCTTTACTTCTGTGACTGGACATGTGGATTTTCTGTGTGAGAGCGCCCTCTGGCATCCAGTATGAATTAAACGGACATCTTGTGTTTATAGTGCTAATGGCCAATCCATAATTTTTTGGGGGGAATTTTTATTTATTTATTTATTTTTTAATATTTAATATAGTATCGGTTCAGGCACCGTTTAGGCACCGGAACCGTTTTAAAAGTGGCACCGGTGCTGAAAACACAACTCTTTCATTTTCATTTGACCCTCTAACTAGCACTCTCTATTCTAATGCTACTTCTAATTTTATCTGTTTTTTTTTTTTATTAAAACATATAATTTTTTTTATCTAACATTTGCACTCTATTCTATTTTTATTCTAACTACTTGTTTTATTTATAAAGGAAAAAAGAGCCTCTAACACTAGCATTCTCTATTCTTTCTCTATTCTGTCCACTTATTTTCTTTTTATTTATTATAAATAATGACCTTCTAACACTAGCATTTTCTGTTCTTTCTACTTGTTTTCTTTTTATTTATTATAACAAAATAAAAAACCATGCTATGTATACTGTTAGGTGAAGCCCCGCCCCCTACTGTCCATTTTTTTTGGAAAACTAAAATATGGTCACCCTATTATAAATATACTTAATTATTATGAAAATACCAGAGATGGCTTAAATAACACCGATAAACTATATTGTCGCAGTCGAGTGTTTATTGTCTTTGTTTTATCATTCAAAACGTTTATATGTTCTGTTTACTCAGTTACAGATATAATAGCAATGCCTTTGTCCATATAAGGGATTTCCTGGAGGCTCATGAGTTCTTTACTTCTGTGACTGGACATGTGGATTTTCTGTGTGAGAGCGCCCTCTGGCATCCAGTATGAATTAAACGGACATCTTGTGTTTATAGTGCTAATGGCCAATCCATAATTTTTTGGGGGGAATTTTTATTTATTTATTTATTTTTTAATATTTAATATAGTATCGGTTCAGGCACCGTTTAGGCACCGGAACCGTTTTAAAAGTATCGATTTGGCACCGGTATCGAAAAAAACCCAAACGATACCCAACCCTAATATTTTCCTCCCATCTCGTATTTATTCCCTTTAGGGGTTCCGTATACACGTCATTTTCTTTCCGAACACTGTATTGGGATGCGGCGGATTGCGAGGGGTATGGGGGGATGGGGGGGATCACGATGCCGGCTCAACATCATGATGTCTATCAGCCATCAGCGATGGACAATGGCATCGTCTATCAACCCTATCAAAATCGTCTATCAAAATCAAAACACGCCGCGGGTGTTTTATATGAATGAATCTCTGAAGGGAAAGGACTGTCTTCAGAAAAGTTTCGATGGCATTTTCATTTTTATCTGATAAAGTAGCGTTCATGAGCGGAGCTGCTTGTCTCCAGCAACATTTCCAGTTTTTGTTTTGTTGTTCATTTTTTTTTTTTTTTTTTTTTCTGCAGCAACTCTGACCACTTTTCATACCAATTTTTTTCTGGCTGAAGCACATTTGTTTCAATCTATAAGAATAATCAGCAGAATAATCTATAAGAATAATAAATGCAGCCTTGGTGAGCAGAAAAGAATTCTTAAAAAAAAAAAACATTAAAAATCTTACTGTTCAAAAACTTTTGACTGGTAGTGTACACCAGTCAAAAGTTTTTGAACCGTAAGATTCATCTTTATTTTTTTTTATTAAGAATTCTCTTCTGCTCAAGGCTGCATTTATTCGATCCAAAGTACAGCAAAAACAGTAAAATTTTGAAATATTCTTACCAATTAAAATTGCTTTCTATTTGAATATGTTAAAATGTAATTTATTCCTGTAATCATAGCTGAATTTTCAGCATCATTACTCCAGTCTTCAGTGTCACATGATCCTTCAGAAATAATTCTAATACGCTGATTTGCTGATTATCAATATTTAAAACAGTTGAGTAAATTTTTTTTTTCAGGATTCTTTGAATAGAAAGATCCAAAGATCATCATTTATCTGAAATAAAAAGCTTTTGTAACATTATACACTATTCCATTCAGTATAATTTTTATTATTTTTTGGGGGAAATTATAGAAATTAATACTTTTATTTAGCAAGGATGCTTAAAATTGGTATATACATTATAAAGGCATTTATAATGTTACAAAAGATTTCGATTTCAGATAAATAGTGTTCATATCGATATCGGAATTATATCGTATCGACCGAAATTAAGAAATATATCGTGATATAAATTTTGGCCATATAGTCCAGCCCTAGTCTGTATGTGTACAGAGCCGGTGAGCAATGGACTTTCAAAATAATAATAATACAAAAACTGCATTAATGCACAATAAAATAATTGTCTGCGTTAATTAATTATATATATATATATATATATATATATATATATATATATATATAAAATTCTTTAAGTGACATGTGGCCAAGTATGGTGACCCATACTTGGAATTAGTGCTCTGCATTTAACCCATCCAAAGTGCACACACACACAGCAGTGAGCAGTTGGGGGTTCGGTGCTGTACATTCACCCCCCCTCTTAATCTCACTGATGTGACTTTTTGTCTCCACTCACAGTTTCGGTCAGGATGTGCCCAAAGACTACAGACATGTGTCTCTGACCGGAGTCAAGCAGAGGTTTGAGGATGACGTGTATCATCAGATTAGCAGAGACGCGGTGAGTGTGCTCGTCTCCTCTCAGAGTCCACTGTAGTTCATCCGGTGAAGTGTGTGTGTGTGACGTGAAGTGTGTTTCTGTGTCAGGTGATGGGCTTTAAGGAGCTCTGTCAGGTGCTGGAGGTCCCAGAGGTGGAGCCGCAGGTGGAGGTGCCCAGCGCTAGCAGCCAGCTAACAGAGATGCACACCTTCCTGTCCTCTCCTGTCAGCAACAGCAAGAGGTGTGAACTAACGTTACGTGCATGTGCCTAAATCCCGTCTAGAGATGCAGGATACTGCCTGACTTTTTACGTTTGATGGGCATGAAACATTTTTCATGTGTAGCCTATCGTGAGTAACAGTCTTCATCTTGTGAGCGCAATCTTGGAGTCACAATATTACTACATGAACACCAAGACAGTTTGAGGAAACGGCAAATATCATTCATTTCCGATTGGAGGTGGCGCTGTAATTTAAGAAAATCCTTTAAATTCTGTAACTCTAATGGTTGAAATTTGCCACGATTGTATACACAATTTATTCTTCAGTGTTTTGCATATAAGCTTTCTTTCTTTTTTTTATTATTTTAACAATATTAGGAAAAAATATTGTATCTTTTACAATTAATGCAATTATTATTTAATAATAAAAAATTATAAATGACTGGTAACAAATAATATAACTAATAATTAATACAAAAACAAATACATTTAACTAAGAATTCTTAGTTCTAAGGATTCTATTATATATACCTAATATAAAACACAAATAATAACATGTTAAAAAAATTAAACGAATGACGATAACCAGTTAACTAACATTATATTAACAAACAATTATTTTTAAATGATCAGGATTTGCCTGTTTATACATGTAAATTATCAAGGCTGCTGATTAATCCTCCAGTGTCCCTATGGTACAAATATTAATAGTATGCACTTTGATCTTAAATGGCTAACAGTGGAAGATAGGATGATTGCTGCAATACGGTTATCAACATGGAATGTTTTACATTTTAACATTTACAGTTCATGCATTTTGTCTGATCGGATAGCTATCCGATCGTGAAAAGGCCAGGTGTAAATGCCCTCTGAAACGCATTCGAGACAGATATAAATCTGATCGCTCAAACCACTTCAGGAAGTGGTCTGGGCCGCATTCCAGACGAAACTGGACAAGTGTAAATGCATCTGGTTGTTGAAACCACATATGTAAATTTTACTCCTCCCAAAATGTTCAAATAATAAACGTGTGAGAGCGTGTTATAGGCTATATCAGTGTTTCCCAACCGGGCAGTGTAAAAAATCATTTTTTAAAAATATTTTTAAATTGCTAAAATGTTGAAAAAAAGCATCTATTATATAATATCCATTTCTGATGTCGCCAATAATTAGAGATACAACGAAATTTCGGCTGCCGAAAATTAGTTCACCACTCAGGTTTCACTTTCACATGGTGTGACACTCTGTGTATTATCAAAGTCCACTCAAAAATTGAGCCGACAGGAAACATGGATGTAGTACAGTATTGTTTCTGTCTGCAATAGCCCTACTGTGTTGTAACAAGGTGTGGTATATGGGCAACTCTGGTAAAGCTGCCCTCTCATTCATTGATCTGCTAACCGCTATGTTATGCTCGCGTGTTCTGATAATAATAGCTTTCTAGGACTAAATATTATTTGAATAATTGGTAAAAAAAAAAAAATTTATATCTTAACCCTACTGTTAGACCTACCTGAAAAACTAAAATCAATTTATTTAATTGGAAGGCCTGTCGTTATTTCTTATTTGTGCTATCATTATTCATTTCTTTATTTGTTCTTATTTTATTACTGACTGCTTACTTGTCATTTTTTATTCAATTCAAAGTTTGAAATCAAGCTATCTCGTGCTACTGCACCAAAATTACCCCACTGTAAAATTAAAAAAACACTGAGTGAGCAAAAATGTGTGAGATAGCTAGTTATAATGGTAATTAAATAATGTTTACATATGTACAAAAGCCTACATTAAAATCTGTCATATACATTGGTCTCTTCATTCGAAATTAGCCTACTGATTGCCGCCATTGATGGACACATTTTTTTCATAATATTAAAAATATCTGTATGACATTATATTCCGCAGTTCTTCCCTGCTGTACCGAATATCTACACTATACATGCCACAAGTTTGTTAATTTCCAATGGGTGCCGTGACTGAAAAAAGTTGGGAAACACTGATCTACATCATATTCTGAATCATCTTACACAAAAACAATAAGACAAAACCAATTGTTATTGATGCATGAGTCACATTAGTGTCATGACATCTTGAGTTCATCGCCTTGAGATTCATATTGCATGGATTCTGAGCAACCACTTTAGTTTTAGTTCTATTTTTATAGAATATATTTAAAAATATACATGTACATTATGTGATTTTTAATGCAAGGCAAGTTTATTTATATAGCACATTTCATACACAATGGTAATTCAAAGTGCTTTACATAAAAGGAGTTAAAATAATCAAAAAATAACCACGACAATAAAAGCAAGGAATTAAAATTTTGAAATGATTTAAAAATAGAAATAGAAAATGATGACACATAAAATACAGTGCAATCAGTTTGGACGTAGCACAGTGCTCATTCACTAAATAGCACTAGTTCACCCAGAAACTACCCTCATGTCATTCCAATCCTATATTTCCTTTACTCTGTGGATCATGTTTGTTCCCCGCTAAAAATAGTGTAACCAACTTTATTAATTAAATTATTTATTAAAAAAATATTTTCTTAAATTAATTTTAAGTCATTAAATGATCTCTTAAAATATTGTCTTTATTAGAAATTAGGGGTGACCCCGAATAGTCGATGATTCGATGCTTCGATAGGAGGAGCCTGATTCGACTACCAATCTTACAGTCGAATATTCGCGGGGTGTTATGATCATGCCATTTTGGCTATATGGGGGGTGCTCAAATGTCTGATTTCACATAGAACTACCGGTTTTCTCCCAATAAGTTATTACACAGCCTATTAAGATAATGCTGTAAATAAGAATCTGAAAAGAAAAAGCTTCAAATATTTTAACGTGCATGAATAAATCCAACCACCCCTATCGGTTTAAGTTTCACTTTCCATAATCCGTGACCGACAGAAGCATTTTTGCAGCAGGGATTTAAAACTTTAACAAGACTCAAACTGAAACCGACCGAGTGAAAGACTGGATTTTTTTCGATCAGGTTGGGTACAAGTGATTTCAAAACATTTCAGCCGGTTTATATATATCGTGTATATATTATTTCTCTTGTATAAGATGCATTTGGTTGAGTCAAGCGCTTCATTGTAGCACTACGGTAATTATCACCGAGCAGGACAAACAACAATGCAGAATATTAATAACTATGACTGGGACCGTCATATACATAACATTATAATGAGAACACTGTTATAATGAAACGCTGTGAATTTTTCGAGTTTAGTTGCCGTGTTTCTGCACGGTGTTGCGTTCATGTGCATTCGGGGCATTTTGTGCAGATAGCCTATACGTAGAATATTAACGTTATGTTGTATAAATAACGAAGCGTATTCTAGATGAGATAAATGATGAGTTATCAAATGCGTCACTCTACTGGTCATCTTCAGCGCGCGCAGCTCAAAACAGAAATGCAGAACATTAATAACTACTGTCATATACATAACGTTATAATGAGAGCTAGGGATGCAGCGATTAACCGCACTTTAAAACGACACGGTTAATTAATCGTAAAGGTTCTGCTAAACCGAGTGTTTCTGTTACACGGAATGGAACCGTTGCAGCTTGTGCAAAATGGAAACAAAGTTACGCTAAAGGTGCACCAGCTTAAAATGATGTGCTTATCAGAGACACGGAGGCTACTACATGCATTAAATTAACTGTGACAGAGAAATGCTTGTCGATAGTGTGGGACCATTTTGCGTGCACCAAGAATGACCAGGGTGTCATTTAAATATTGCCGTAAAAAACTGCTTCTAAAGAGCAATCACATTAGGGATAATGCATGGCTAGCTGTATATTGAACAATTTTAATGCACGACCTGAAGGCAAGAACCACCTGACGTGAAGCTACGGCTCGTTAGCTCCGCATTCTGCCCGCTTCAGATCAGAAAGAGATGAAATAGTGCGGTAAGATCACATTTATTTGAATTAATAAATTATAATATTTAGCTACTTTAATTATTCGATCGAGTGAGAAGAGAGAGAGAGGTGACAGTTGCCTACCTGCGTCGGTGCGTCTCTCCAGTAGGCTATTAATCTATTTTATTAATAAAAGTCACAGGGCAGCGTTCTCAAGAAGTTTGTGTCCTCCTGAATGTTTGTACACGTG